GGGAAGAAGTGGAGAAATACACGGGGTTTTATCACCGGATATCTAATTCGGATTAAGAACTCTCGGAAATTATTGCAGTGTTGTTTTTTCTGGTGTGATTCAAATTCATTTCCCGCCCCAAGTAGTAGTCATTTCCGTGATGTTTCTGCGTGGCTTTGGTGAACTTTTCGATGTTCCACGTTAGCTTTAAGACTGGGAAAAATTTGATCAAACACGGAAGTTAACGGTTCAAAATCCACTGATTTTTTTTTTCTTTACAGTCATCTACCTTGTCCCTACATGGGAGTGTTTCTCCTCTCGAGAAAATGAATCCTTCTGGAATGTTGCCAATCCATCTGTTAGTATTGCAAATGTTTTTAAGGATACTCCATTACATATTGCTATGTATAATTCAAATGTAACTAGCACGCACATTTAAAATGGTGGCTTTTTCTCTGAGGTAAATCGTCACTTTGTCGCGAACGAGCACGGTGACCTATTAATTTTTTTCAGTTTCATGCAACTGAGCAATGTCAATGTCATTTTTTCCCTGAAATAAATTTAAACTCCAATTCTCAGTGTAGGAAAGGAAACAATTTTATGCAAAATCAAATTTAGTAAGTAATAGTAAGTATGATAGACATAATATTAGTAGAGGTAAAAACGTGATATCGAGTGCACTTTGGTGTTAATAAGCACGAGTAAATTTTGCAAAGACAAAAAAATTGCACGAGCCAATAGGGGGTCGAAGGATTCTGATTGTCACCATAAAATTTACCTGATCCCCACTAAGGTTCTGAAATCTTTTCATGACTCCCCCCCTCACTGGCAGTTCATTTGCAGTCAATTTTCGAAAAAAAATCTATGATGCACTCCCAAAATCCTCCACCCCCTCCCCTCCAGAAGATAAATAATGACCACTCCCTGAGGTCATTCCTCTGAAATAGAACCTGCACTGAGATTTTTGTTTGGTCCGTAAATAAGAGATCTGAAGCCGGCCATACACCTGGCGATTTTATTCGATCGCCGCATCCTAAACAACTTCCGCTTCTTAATCTAGCTGTTGTGTTTCTGTCTTTTGACTTCTCCACGTAAGTTTTTGATGTTTTATTAAAGAGCTAAAACAGGTTCTAATGCCAAAGGGATCCCGCACGGCCGGCAGATGAAGGACGGAGGAGAAGCTGAAACATGGACTCAAAATGCGAGACCATGGCCAAGAGCAATTGTCAGAGCAAATCAATGGCAGATCGAGATCCTGGTTTAGGGATCGGTCATAATTTATTACCAGGGGAGGGGGGGAGGGGAAGTAGGAGGATTGTGGTTGTGTCACAATAGAATTAACCTGATTCCCCCCCCCCCCCCCCCGCCACAGCACTTTGTAGTATTTCAATGATCCCCTCATTGTCCATCAATTTTCTGTATTCCCCCTTTATACTTAACAAGCGACGACTGATCCCTCTAAATAATAATTATTCCCTTTGGTAACGAAGTTTTCAAGGTTTGCCCAAATCAGCCGCTGAGGTATAACATTTAAATATGCTGGAGATCGGTATTTCACCCGACAAAAGCCAGGAGCCCATTATCCCTCAGTTATGGAATCTCTGTTGTGACTGGGCGTCGCTAGGTTACCATTATTTTCAAATTGCTTTAGTATTAAATTTCCCTCTAAACGGTAAAATTTCCGCATAGCCCCATACCATTGTTAAACAAATCTGTTTTCCCAATAGCAATGTATTGTTTTTGTCGTTGTTTTCTCTACCCAAGAACTGAATGCATAATGTAGTAGGGGGCTGTGCGGAAATTTTACCTCACATTTATTCGAGACAAATTTCCTTACACTGTTTATTTCACCGACAAATTAGAAGTGAATGAAAGGCGAGATTGGCTCATTGACACATTATGCCTATTGAAATATAGCCGAGGCTCTTGAGAAGAGCACTGAACTGTTGATAACATTTATAGAGTGTAGGAGAATGAAACTAAGTAACTTACTTGAGCTCTGGAAAGACACTTCTGTTACTTCACGTTTTACTCAGTTGATTTGTGGTCGCTGTCCGGTCACCCACGTGCTTCGGTTTTTTTCCCTCCAAGACCGATATTTAAGGCCAGCCAACATCATGGGTTTAACTGACTGGCATTAGAACTACCTAACGCTTGTTACGAAACGATTTGTCTCACCGAAAGGCGTAATTTTAAGCCAAATAGGCAATGGAAGCTCGGAGCTCTCGTTCAAAGTTTCATGCACAACTAAAATTAATATCAATTGTTGTCGACATATATTAGTAATGCAAATCAAACATTCTGTTATCTCACGGTCAGTCTTCTGAATGAAGTTATGAGAAGGGTAGGGGTGATTTCTGCTATTGATAATTTAAGTTGCTCCTGTTATTCAAGACAAAAAAACATAATGACAGGTATAAAAAATTAAACAAAAAATTAGAATAAAGAAAAATAATCGATTGTTAAAAACTTACAGTTAGAGAATAGAATCTGAAAACCTATTCCCAAAGGTATGAAAACCTAAACTCAATGCTAACCAGAAAAAGAAATCCAATTCAGGCTGCTGTATTGATTCGTACTCTGCTGCAGTCTTCTTTTCTTCAAACCAATCAAGAAATGGACTGATTTCAGACTGAGCCTGCAAGCAAAGCTTACATTGGAGCAGCGACACGAGTAGCAAGGCCCGCGCGTTCCAAGGGCCCGAGAGATATACGAGGAGGACCTTTCGTTCGCTCACATGGCCAACTAGAAACACGTAGACTTCATCGTTGTTATTGCTGCGCCCGCAAGAGCGTGCTTGCGGGCTATTGTAGACTGCAAAAGACAGTGAGCGTCGGTACATGATTTGACCGCCATGAATATCAAACAAGACCATAAATTTCAACATAAAAAAACCGTGCGTAGAGAAATTCTCAATTGAGCGTCGGGAGTAATCCGGAATTATTTGCTTGTGCTTTACCTAGGTCTGTGATTGGTCTAGAAAACTCCCGCCATCCCCTAAACCAATCAGACCCTAAACAAAAACAATTGTGACACGGTCACCCGCGTTTCCCCCACTTTTGTTACTTTGCCTGCTTCTACTTTGACGCAAGACCTCTGTTATGATCAGTTGTCGTCATCACTTTGATTTCGTTTTACGACAGTCAATTTAAATATGCTGTATCATCTGATCTACCGCAAACCTTGCATAGGAAGCCTGGTTATCTTTAACCCTAACATCAGTATACATTTTCTCCACACTGTTCTCTATACATTTCCTATTGTACTGACAAAGAGAATTTGTTTAACAATCAAGAGCTTCTTCATTTGGTGATAACTTCCTCTATTCTCATGACGTCAATGTTTGTTTTAGGGTTGATACTGATAAGAGAAATTAGTTGCTAATCAATTTTAGAGGTTAAGCGCCTGTGAGGCCAATTAGATTTTACTATGCGTATCGGCATAAAAAGGGAAGGAAGAGAGGAAATATTTGAATACAAAGCGCAATACTTGGTGTAAAAAACTCATTTACGAAAAAAAGAGGTTAGAATCCAAACTCCGTAGAAAATTGTATTTTATGGAGTTTCGGATGTCGTTACGTCGATGTGTGGTAAGCGTTGCCAAAAAAAAAAGTGAGTTATTCTTCTCTAAGACTTTTGCCAATAGCTCCATGCGTTAGCCGGTTTTTGACGAGACAAGTGTAAGAGGCACATGGGGTGGGCCACGCGTGACAATCTTCTCTCGAGCTCTTCCTGATCTCCTCTATCGTGCGCCAGGCTCTGTTTGCCTTAAACCTTAAGCCTTAGCGTGAATGCCCTACAAGACACGAACTTTCAAAAACCATCTCGGATTTTCTTGGGCATTAAATTGTCACTAAGGACAAGTTTTTTTTATGTCTACTAGACTAGAGTTTTTGGATGGCCAAGCTGTGACGTAGCTTGGATTTTAAATACGAATGGGTCGTCAAAGAAATTATTTTCTGTGCTCCTTACGTGACGTAGCTTAAACCGCTGCTCTACTTTATGTATTATTGCCGCGAAAATGACCGGCAAATGGAGTATCTAGCTCTGAAAAAGATACAAGTCATGCGGATTTTTCGGATAAGTGCGTTTTCGTAAACCGAAATCATAGGGGTAAATGTTTTTCTAATAACCGTAGCAACCACGAAAAACCAAAACAAAATACACAAACGCCATCTTTAAACTCCTTTAATAATCAGCCGACTTAATTGAAGGTTAAGGCAGAAGTCATCGTCTTCAATCACAAATTACACTACCTTAAGCACCCTAAATTAGCTAAGATTGTTCACGTTATAAATGATTTAGACTATGGATAATGTTCAAAGTTAAAAGCATAACTTCGATATCAACTCTAAGCCACAAAAACTAATAGTTGAACTTAACTGACTCGAGAGAAACCGTCCTTCTAGAATAATCTTACATTTAACATAAAAAGATCATCTAATTTTCAAATAATAACAATTTATATTGCCAAGTTATGTAACGTTCTGACAGTTAGTGGTAAGTTTTGATTCCATTTTTCATATTCGTAATCTATTGCGGCACATGCCAAGCGTCACCAACTGCGCTCTGATTGGTTCTTGACTAGTAACGTTAATTGCTAGAAGTTTGGCGGTTCTGAAATGTTACTATACTACATTGCCCCACAATCAAGTGTTGCTGGACTTAATCTGTGTGGCTTTGCTATGACTAATGCCTTGATATCTGTGTTTCAATTCCTAAGTAAAGTTTGTTCTCCACTGATCTACATGTAACGAACTTAAAAAACCCATGAGTTAAATATTACTGAAAGTTGTGTGTTACTAATGTTCGGTTCTAAGCTCTCATGTTGCAGCATATTAAAAATATGTACAGCCAGGTGCAAGTCTTATTTCGAACACGAATCTCTATCTTTCGTCTAACGAACAACTCTGGAATGCTTTACTTTTTCGTTTGTTTGATGAAACTGAGCCAGATTTTTCTGAAAATCCGTTACGTTAACATGTCAAGACCAAGGTCCAAACTTTCAGAACATTATCCAAGTTAAAATAACGAACATTCCCACTTATTACGGACACGTCCAGGGCTATGTGGGGGTGCTCCCTCGTGAAAGTCTTTCGCCTGAGTTAGGTCTCCCAGCTGACGGTGTACCAGACCCAGATCATTGTAAGACGCGGCAATATTAACATTCTCAAGGCCGCGCTTTTTCGGCAGAATAGCCAGTGCACGATCGTGATAATCTTTTGCCTTATTAAGGTCTCTTAGCTCACAGTGTACAAGACCCAAAGCCTTGTAAGTCGTTGCAACATTAACATGCTCAGGGCCGAGCTTTTTTAGCATAATAGCCAGTGCTCTCTCGTAATAATCTTTTGCCTGAGTAAGGTCTCCCAGCTGACGGTGTACAAGACCCAGATCATTGTAAGACGCTGCAACATTAACATGGTCAGGTCCGAGCTTTTTTAGCAGAATAGCCAGTGCTCCCTCGTAATAATCTTTTGCCTTATTAAGGTCTCCAAGCTGACAGTGTACAAGACCCAGATCATTGTAAGACGCAACAACATCAACATGGTCAGGGCCGAGTTTTTCCAGCAGAATAGCCAGTGCACGATCGTGATAATCTTTTGCCTGATTAAGGTCTCCCAGCTGACGGTGTACAACACCCAGATCATTGTAAGACGCTGCAACATTAACATGCTCAGGGCCGCACTTTTTCAGCATAATAGCCAGTGCACGATCGTGATAATCTTTTGCCTGATTAAGGTCTCCCAGCTCACAGTGTACAAGACCCAAAGCCTTGTAAGTCGTTGCAACATTAACCTGCTCAGGGCCAAGCTTTTTTAGCATAATAGACAGTGCTCCCTCGTAATAATCTTTTGCCTGAGTAAGGTCCCCCAGCTGACGGTGTACAAGACCCAGATCATTGTAAGACGCTGCAACATCGACATGGTCAGGTCCGAGCTCTTTCAGCAGAATATCCAGTGCACAATCGTGATAATCTTTTGCCTTATTAAGGTCTCCCAGCTGCCGGTGTACAAGACCCAGATCATTGTAAGACGCTGCAACATTAACATGGTCAGGTCCGAGCTTTTTCAGCAGAATAGCCAGTGCACGATCGTGATAAACTTTTGCCTTATTAAGGTCTCCCAGCTGACGGTGTACAAGACCCAGATCATTGTAAGACGCTGCAACATTAACATGCTCATGGCCGAACTTTTTCAGCAGAATATCCAGTGCACGATCGTGATAATCTTTTGCCTGATTAAGGTCTCCCAGCTGACGGTGTACATGACCCAAAGCCTGGTAAGACGCTGCAACATTAACATGCTCAGGGCCGAGCTTCTTCAGCATAATAGCGAGTGCACGATCGTGATAATCTTTTGCCTGATTAAGGTCTCCCAGCTGACGGTATACAAGACCCAGATAACTGTAAGACGCTGCGACATCAAAATGGTCAGGTCCGAGCTTTTTCAGCATAATAGCCAACGCACGACCGTGATGATCTTTTGCCAGATTAAGCTCTCCCAGCTTACGGTGTACAAGACCAAGATCATTGTAAGAGGTTGCGACATTAACATGGTCAGGTCCGAGCTTGTTCAGCATAATAGCCAATGCACGATCGTGATAATCTTTTGCCTGATTAAAGTCTCCCAGCTGACGGTGTACATGACCCAGATAACTGTAAGACGCTGCGACATAAACATGGTCAGGTCCGAGCTTTTTCAGCATAATAGCCAGTGCACGATCGTGATAATCTTTTGACTGTGTAAGGTCTCCCAGCTGACGGTGTACAAGACCCAGATAACTGTAAGAGGTTGCCACATAAACATGGTCAGGTTCGAGCTTATTCAGCATAATAGCCAGTGCACGATGGTGATAATCTTTTGCTTGATTAAGGTCTCCCAGCTGACGGAGTACATGACCCAGAAAACTGTAAGACGCTGCGATATTAACATGGTCAGGGCCGAGCTTTTTCAGCATAATAGCCAATGCATGATCGTGATAATCTTTTGCCTTATTAAGGTCTCCCAGCTTACGGAGTACAAGACCCAGATCATTGTAAGAGGCTGCGACATTAACATGGTCAGGTCCGAGCTTATTCAGCATAATAGCCAGTGCACGATCGTGATAATCTTTTGCCTGATTAAATTCTCCTAGCTCCTGGTGTACAAGACCCAGATAACTATAAGACGCTGCGACATCAGCATGGTCAGGTCCGAGCTTTTTCAGCATAATAGCCAATGCACGATCGTGATAATCTTTTGCCTGATTAAGGTCTCCCAGCTGACGGTGTACAAGACCCAGGTTATTGTAAAACGCTGCAGGAATAAATGGGTTAAATAATCTTTCCGTGCTGTATTTTCTCACTGTTTTAATATATACTAATCAACAAATACTCACCCATCAATTATGACTATATTATGGTTCTTTCGAGTTTTGCAAACAGCAATTTGGTAAAACCGAAATACATAGAGATAACTTAAAATCACATGCACAAAATAAGGTTGAAAACAATTATTGTAGCTTGAGGTTCAATATGCCTCATAAACAAATCTGGCAACCATGATCAAGTTGGCTTTAACTCACAGATGGACTTATTGCCATGTAATGCCATTTTTGCAATTTGACACGCGTCTCCTAAATAAACCAGGATTTGCTTTAATGAAGTGTATAGAGAAGCATCTCTAAATTCAAATGGGAGAATTCATTCTCTGTAATTTTCTCAAGTCTTCACAATTTCGCAATTGTGAGCGTTTCTTTAGAGATATTTATTATCAGTTTCTTTCTATTCTGGGAACTTAAGGGCACTATGGTGGCCCCTCGTCAAAGAAATCAGAAAAACTTATCTCATTTACTTACTTGATTGATTTCTGACTGCATCAGTAAGCTCTAATACATGACTTGCTTTTAAGTGTTCTTCACTGGCGCTCAAATCTTGAGACAATCTGAGCACAAAAAAAAAATTCAGACCTCTTATTACCAACAAGCTAATCAAGAGACAAAACTCAGTTTGGTTCACTTTCCATTTAATACCAAAAACTGAAAAAAAAGTTGTTCGTACCACACAACTCTAAGCAAAATGTCCACCCACTTACACAGGCATGACGTGCGAGCTGTCCCTTCAACTGTCGTATTACACCGTCCAATTACAAGTATGACACTTACACTGTCCTCTTAGTGCTCAAATCGGGCTGGTGATAACCAATCACATTCGAGAATATTGTTATGGTTTTGATTAGTGCTCAAATGGGGTAGGTGATAATCGATCACGTTCGAGAATTTTGTTATAGTTTTGATTAACTACGATCAAGAGAGAATAATGGTCCCATTGTTTTTTTTCTTGCTGCGATTCAATACATCCCGATGCACCCAAAATATAAAGTACAGTGGAAATGACGATCTAATCCGTTATAAAGTTACAAAAAGTTCAAGTAAACACCAAACAATTCTTGGGGCCAATCAGTTCACTTTTATGCAGAGGTAAAAAAATTACGAGCCTCTCTAAGAGGGCTATCAACTAACATACAATGACACGAGCTTCAGATCTTATCAACAAGAGGTTAATCGAGTCACCAGTCATCTCCAGTCAAAACTGTTATAGAATTGTGGTTACCATAGTATGTTTGAAAGTCTCAAGTGTAAATACTAATACCCTTACGCTTCAGATTACCAATTTGAAATGTTATTTTTCTTTTGCCTTAATAAAGGGAGTCCCTAAAGAATTGCGATTGTAAAAGAAATTCGAATCATGCTCCTGAATCAAAGTAAAAACAATTGTTAAAATCAAACATCAAATTAAAGCAACTTCTTCGATTTCCTGACTTACTAGTTGTATATGCTAGAAAATTCTCATTAAATGGTCAACTCCTACGAGGCAGCCAATTGTCAAGGTCTCAAAGATAAATTCAGTTGACTGTGCTCTTTATAACAGCATTAGTTGCGAAAAGCACAGTGAAAATTGAGCCCTCTTTGCTTTCTAGAACTTGAGTCACGCTTAGCCTCAGCTCCTACTGGGATTTTTGATTTGGAAAGCCCCTTACCCTATCATCACATTATTATAATAGGTGTATTTTCAATGCCACAGTATAAAAATGAGTATTTCACGGAAATATACACGGTACCTTTTACTTATGGACTCAAGGTACTGCGCGGTATCTTCGTGGCCAAATGCTCTCGCAACATCCTCTGGTAATGGAGAGGTACACCTGTAGGCGTTGAAGACCACTTTGCCAGCCGACGAATTGAGGACTAACTCAATGAACTGCCGAGCATCAGTTTCTGCTGCTGCATACACCAACAACAGTAAGCCTTGAAGTGAATGTAAAGGATTCCCTGAATTCATGCACCCTGTGAACGGAATTTTGATGAAAGACCTTTGATGTAATATGATGGTAAAACGGTATCCGGACAATTCGTTACGATCATTGGACAATTTACCCCTAATCTCAAGACAAATAAGGATTCTATCCAAATTAGGGCTTGTGTGTCGTTGTGAGGGATGGTTGTTGTTGCGAAAATTTTCAATTTTGCGGCCTGCCAAATCTAGAAGTTTGTTTGAATTGAAATCTCCCCCTTGTATTTAGACCCAAAATAAATATCTTACAAACCTTGTCTTCTCGGTCCGTGCTGTAAGTTACAGAAACTTGTGTTTTCCGCCCAGATTTGTGACCCAAGCACACGAAGCGCGCGGGCCATCTAAAGTAAATCTGAGCGGAATAATCTCGGTCCCTAACTTACTGTACGGACCTCGAAATCGGTTAGTAAGAGGTGTCTTTTAAAGGAAACCTATTTACAGTCACATCTCAAGACACCAACACACACTATATGGATTCCAATAGTCCTCTACGTAAGTCTTCTACGTTTTTTTTAACAACAAATTCAACGTTTACTTGAGACCGATAAAAGATGTCAAGGGGTCTTTCATGCTTACCTGAATTAGAGGACTTCGTCTCTTTTTGGCTGCCATCAGTGAGGTGCCCTTTACAAGCAGCATTCCATTCTTCGAAAAAGGAGTGATACTGCTCTTCATCTTGGACTATTTGCTTGAGAGCCTTTTTGCGTTCATCAAAATAGTACAATTTTGTCTCCCCAAGATCACTCGATTTGCCAGTCTTGTCACTTTTTCCGTGCACTTTTACAGTGACCAAACCTTCTTCCTCAGCAGCTGGAAGATTCAAAATTAACATCTTGACACCATTTCTACTACTGTGCAAAACAATGATGTTATGACTTTCATTTCATTCAAAGGCAGTTGCTCACAGCATTAAAAAAAAACTAACAAAATGTGGATCTATGAAAACAAATTGTGTCAAGCTTTCGTTCTGTGTCAGTCTCAGATATGAAAGATCTGTTTTAAAATCTTTTAGGTCTCATGAAATGGGCTGTGTTAAAAATTTTCGAGTCGTTCGTAATCTGTGGGTTAGTTTTAGAGAAACTTATTTGAGTCCAGATTCGTTTCACTACGAACGACATGGGTTCCAGCTGTGTCAGTATCAAATCTGAAAAAAGCGAACTTACACTGTAGATGCAATCACTTGCCTGCTAGGTTTTTCGTGACAAAGTGGTTAAGTAACTTGCCTTAACAAAAAGAGGTTTTCAACTACGGTATTTAATAGAGGACGTCCATGCCTACACATTGCTAACATTTCTAACATGGCCTTTCAATCTTCTTCAATTTTTTATCAAGCTCAAACATCAAGGGTATTTTAATACTTGACTAAATTCAAGACAACTTTTACTTACGAGGAATTCCTACTCCAACGAGACAGTTAGTCTTGTGTTTAACTCCATTCAAATCAACAAAGCCTAGATCAGCAAACTTAGCAGTTCCAGTAGTAACGTCTGAGGGTAGGTCAGGTTTAAAAGTGAACCAGCAAGGTCCTCCACCCTAATTAGTAAGAACTACAAAATCACCTTAAATTTCATGGAACATACATTTGTAATTATTACTATACATTCACACAATTATACTAAAAGCTGAGAAATTTCTGGAATGTGATTGGCCAAGGCCAATAATATTTCGGGTGAATTTGAAATACTAAATAATTTCTAATTTTGAAAGAATGGCGGAAAGAGTTCCCGATGCGAAAGAACGGCTACAATGTGAGGAAAAGCAGAAAATAAAAACAATAAGGAAAGCACGAAGACCTTGATTACAGTTTGGTCAACATGAGCTGACGGAAAAGGGTTCAGTCCGGATATTGTGAGCTACGACGCCCAGGAACTTAATCTGAAGCTCGGCAAGTTTTTCGGAAGAAAGAAAGATAGAAAGAAAGAAAGAAAGAAAGAAAGAAAGACGGTATGGACTATAACTCAGAAAGTTTGCGGGTACTGTTAGCGTCCCATGGGGCCGTTTTTCGAAGGTCACGGTAACTTAAAGGGCTCGTAATCTGTTCTGTTTTCATCCAAGATGGGGGTTTCAAAAGTTTTGAAACTCATACAACAAAACAAATAGATGCAATTGTTCCAAGTAAGTCAAGAACGGCTGTCATCTGAGCTTGAGCTCAAAGAGATTGTTATGGGGAACAGAATAATCCCATAGTGAGGGGGCGAAAAAAAGGGGCATGCAGATTTTTATAGTCTACTTATTTCACTATCTTAAAAACGTCTTGCCACCTTAATGGCTGGAGGAAAAGAAAGAAATTCATTTCATCATGTGTGATGTAACGCTTCAATTTCAGATCGAATAAAAAAAGAGTTTAAGAATTATTTGCCTAAATTTTACAATTCTCGGGGCTCCATCGATCTGGTTTGGGTTTCACCCTGATAGAACATCAATATGTCATAAAATTAAAATTTTCTTTTACCTTCAGAGAAGTCTGTGGTGGCACGATGCTTACTTCATAACAGCTATTCCCCAATAGATTAAGAGACATATTTCCTCAATAAAAAGGATAAATGAAAAAAAATATTAGTCTATGACTTAGTGAAGAATGATCCAATGATGGTTCATGGACCATGGCGCCCACCATTGTCACACACCTGTAAGTAGGGTTAGTTAATCTCCTTCCTTTAGCTCACACATACAGACAAACCAGTTGTTTCTCAGAATATGATCAAAATAATCAGAGATTCTTATCCTTAGCTCTGGGAGGGGAAACACATCTCCTCATTCAATTTTGCAACTGAGGCCTCTGTGAAGATACCATTTCCTGCGGCTAGAGATTACCAACAAACGCAGACCTTATGGACACGAAGTTTGCACACTTATATCGTGATTCCCGAGAGGTAAAACAAAACCCTACGATACCCCGATAGATAACAAGGATTACTTTAAAATGGTAAACAGGGAGGGAAAACATGTTATCTTCCTTTACCAGGGAAAGCTGCCCTAAAAAAGAGGAGAACATTTTGCAACTTAGAAGGAAGCAAATGATTGCTGAACATGGCAGGTTTTTCAGCCAAAATACTTGTGCCATGCTGGGATTTCTTTCAGCCTATAAACTACAGTACTTACCATTATTATCACATCTGTCAGAATTATTCGAAAAAGGGAACCATGATTTAAAATATGACCACCCATTACTTCCTTGATTGCAAGCAGCAGCATCTGTCAATTAGGAACAGCAGGATTTTGAATGTGCATGTAATCTAATTTCATTTTTTTCCATGACTGGTTTACAGGAAAATGTTCTTATAACTAGTTTTATAGTTTAATTTCAAGACTACAACCTCCCCCAAATAATATCAATGACCTTAAAAACATAAATTTATAATAAAATTTGGATATAACGCGCGCTTTCATTTGTTGGAAGAGCGTGTTTTATCGGAGTAAAAACACGGAGCTGGGCAAAAGCTGCCACGCCCTCTGCCAATTTGTACAATGTCCGACCATTTCCCGGACTTCTCTAATTTGAAATTGAAATTTCGCAGCAAGCGAGCCGGCAAGTAGCAACAGAAGAACCAAAGAAAGCTTTGTAAAGATGCCGAGCGCAGTAATTGACGTTATCATTAGGTGATCAGAGACGAAAATCACTAAAGAGGAAGAATGGTGTCTTCTTCAAGTGATCAACATGCACAAATGTTTGTGGTTCCCGCAATAGACTAGATAAGAACATGAACCTTTCACCTGGTAAATCCTCCCTTTAATCCACCTTGCAACTCCACGAACTAGAACAACTTTATTTGATTTGTATGCCGGCACCTCCACCCTGCCCCCATCGTGATGCTGGTTCTGTTTCATTTGTTGCTCCCCTATTGCTTAGTGAATATCCGATTTTAAAAATGTAAAAAGGTTCCTAATTTGTCTTCCGAGAAAAATTTCAGTAGGAGAACGCCCTGTGACAGTGTGAGGTGTAATGACGAAAGGGAATAAGGAAATTGGCTAGCCGGTGTTTCAAATTAAATTTACTTCCTTTCCAATCGAGAACTTGTTCAGTCAGAGCTAGTTTCGCCATCTGCAATGAACGCTCAACAGCCCCATCTGATATGGCGGAACACGTGTGAACTTGACACCTTTGTGTCTCATTAACTGAATGAACTCTTCTGTTGCCAGTTGCAGACTACTGTCGGGGACGACCTCTTTACGGATGCCGTAATGTGCAAACAAAATATGCAGTGTGTTAATGCTCTTCAAACTGGTCGTGGAGCTCACTGGGATCACTTCTTACTATTTGGAGTAACGTCAATGACAACCAGAAAATTCAGCTCGTCCTTATCGAAGAAATCAATGTGTACGGTAACCGGTCAAGTCACCCGAAAGTCATCTCGCCCGAAGTCATGTCGCCCGTAACCAGAGTCATGTCACCCGAAATTTTATCGAGTGTTTAATCTTGAAGAGAAGTAACAATCGCAAGGAATAAACTCGTAAAATGTTGACTCGTCCGCTAACCTATGCAAATATGAAGTTAAACAAAGACTCAGATATCGCTGTTCATTTCAGCGTTAATCGGTTCTATGAACTAAACTGTTCATTCTACAGTACAGATTGAAGAAAAGTAACAATTGCAAGGAATAAACTCGTAAAATGTTGACTCGTAAAATGTTTTCGTCCGCTAACCTATGCGAATATGAAGTAAAACAAAGACTAAAATATCGCTGTTCATTTTAGCGTTGTTCGTTGCTAGGAAATAAACTGCTCATTCTACATTACAGTTTCTAGTAATTATAAGCAGAACACTTTCAGTTATCAGAATTTTTCACACATATCAGAAAAATGCATCGACGATTGCGACGATTACGGCTTTTGGCAGCATCGTATCTGCGGGTGTTCTTGGACAACCCACACGTAGGTTTAGTTGCTAGCAATAAATATGTTTGTATTAATGCGTGTCTGAATTTACCGAAACGTGACTATCTTGCTTGGCAACCATGTCATGATTCTTGAGCACGTGCTGTATTCAAGATGGCGGCGTTTTCTAATTTTCCAATCTTGGTGATGTGAACCTTCGTTCGAAACAGAAACGGCTTCCACAGATAAAACAACAACAGTTAGAACCATACTGTAACTGATATTACTATTTTTTTTTATTTTCGTGTTCTATTTTAGGATTACTATCTTCGTGATATCAAACGACAGCGAAACGAAAAACCTGAGTTTCACGAGTCAACATTTTAGGAGTTTATTCCCTGCGATTTAATTAAGATGTTTCTTTTAAAATTTTAAAATTTCGGGCGGCATGACTTAGGATTTCGGGCGACATGACTATGAATTTCGAGCAACATGACTTTGGTTTCGGGCGACATGACTTCGGGCGAGATGACTTTCGGGCGACTTGACCGTAAACCATGTGTACACGCTCCCACGGCTTCGCAGGCCATTTCCTCGGGTGTAAAGGTGCCTTTAGCAGCGACTTAGCCACAGAAGCACAAACATGACAAGCACTGACCCTGTCTTCAATCGCACCAACCATTCCAGGCCACCAGCATTCCGATGGGTGATGTTTTTGACCACAGTGAAAACAATCACCTGAGCCCTTACCTGGACACTTGGGACCGGAAAAACAGTTCACTTTGTTTATTGAATCTTCAAGAGGAATTCTGACTTCATGCAAACCCTTTTCATTTGCCAACTCCATAGATTGTGCTGTTTCAAATGCTTTTGCGAACGTCAAATCTTTTTCTGCCAACAACTACTTTTGAAAGTGCACGTTTCTTAGCCTACAAACAAGTCGGTCATGCATCGCTTCTTCCAAAAACAATCCAAACTCACACTTAAACGAAAGTCGCTTTAACTCAAGCATAAACTGAACGATCGAGCTGCCTTCAAGCTGATCACGACGGTAAAATTTAAACCATTCTGCCATCAAAATCGGTTTTGGAGAGTAATGAAGCTCTGTCTGACGAGCGCTTAGGCGCAAAACTCAGAGTCACAGAGAATCGATGCGTCCTCTTTAATTTATGTATACTTAGCTCTGCTACCACAGCATTGAGCACTTTATACCAGGGTAGACTCTACCCCCACATTAATATACATATAAAATATTATATTATACACGAGAGGGTAAGATTCCAAGGATCATGATGTAAACCTACTCCAGTTACTCGAAACGGCACGAATGAATGGAGTTAAAAGCAGCTGCAGTTCAAAAGAACTGGGTGAAATTTCTTCGGGCAAACCATCATGCCAGAAAGTATGAAAATAGATGACAAGAAGGTTGAAGTCATCAGACAGATGAAAGCACCAAAAGAAAAGAAAGCTCTGCAGAGTTTTCAAGGAATGGTCAATTATCAGAAGCGATGCTCCGCCAAGTTGACGAGACTGTTCGAACCACTCAAACCGCTGCTTCGGGAAGAAATGGAGTGGACCGGGGATTCTCTTCATCAAAATGCCTTTGATGCCATCAAAGAAGAGCTCTCCAGGACCCCAGTACTTGCGTACTTTGACCGGAATGCGGAACATGTTGTTCAGACCTACGCTTCCATGATAGGGTTGGGTACTGTATTGCTACAAGAGGAACGACCAGTGATCTGCATATCGAGAACTCAAAACCCCGCCTCGGGAAATGATTTGGAAGAAAAGTATTTCCACTGCGAGCCCGAGACTTCAACGTCTTCTTCTAAGGCTTGCAAGATATGAAATTCAAGTTGAGTATATCTGTGGGAAAGACAACTCAGTTGCAGACGCTTTAAGTCGAGTCAACCCTCTCAGCCCAAAGCCTATGGACGCAAAGCAGATAGATGTGATTCCAGTGCATCACATCACTTCAACTGTTCCAGCAACAGAAAATAGACTTGACCGAAAAAGAACTGCTACTACTTCTGATTTAGCTCTAAACCAGTTATCTTACTACATTTTTTACGGTTGGCCGCTTCAGAAGGAGCAACTCCCAAAACGACTGCAACATTACTGGAATTATCGTGAAGAGCTTGCAGTTGAAGATGGCCTGATATTCAAAACTCGTCAACTAGTAATTCCAACATCACTCAGAACAGAGTATTTCAAGAATCTTCATGCAGGCCATTTAGGAGAGGATAAACCTCTGTCGAGAGCATATGAGACAGTCTTTTAGCCCGGGATCTCGGCTGATGTGAGAAATGCAGTTAAATCATGCGACGTAAGCCAGCAGTTCAAGCCAGCTCAACAGAAGGAACCACTTGTGCTGCACGATGTACTCAGCTTGCCATGGTTTAAGCTTGGAGTCATCATATTTGAGCATCGTTCTAACCACTGTCTCCACTGTGTACTTGTCGCGGACTTCAGCAAGTTCCCTATTGTAAAGAAACTGACAAGGGAACTCAGTTCGCGTGCTGAGAATTCAAAGAGTTTGCCTCGCATTATAGATTTGAAGCGCAACACTTAAGTTCAAGGTATCCTTAATCGAATGGTTTCATCGAGCCCATGGTTAAAGTCGTCAAGAGCATTATGGAGAAGGCCGAGGAGTGGTGTTCGGATCCATATCTTGCAATGCTGATTTATTGTGCGACCCCAATCAGACCAGGTTAGCTCAGCCCAGGAGAGATGCTCTCGCAGTGGGAATATAGAGCACTTCTTCCGATCCATCAATATCTGTATCCCAATCTAAAGATAGGCAGGGAGGCGTAGATAGCACGGAAACAAGCCTAGCGCTATCACAACGACTGGACAGCCAAGAAACTTCAAGATCTACAACAATTTCAGAGTGTCCGGTTCCAGTTAGATCCCAAGAAACCAATCTGGCAGAAAGCCACGGTGGTCCAGCAGTCAAACGAAAGCTCGCCCAGGCAATATGAGTTACATACTGAAACCGGTGCGCAATATTTCGGAAATCGTCACCATATTCCTCCAGTGGTTAAGAGCCTACCCCCAGATTTAACCCAGACTCAGTCATTCCCAGAATAGAGCCAAAGTCACCAAAACCTGGACCGGTCAAACATCCCAGTTCAACAACTGCTGATGTCGCTGACCAAGCATCACTTACGCCATTTCCCAAACGGTGTGTACCAAAGGAAGCCCTTGTTGGAATTGAGTTGTATCGACCCTGACGAGTTATTAGACTACCTGCGAGACTGATTAAACAAATCCAGGGAAACTCCGACAGTTAAGAGAAATGAACTCGTAGTATGTCGTTTATGTAATTATAGTTGTAATAGCTTTTCATGACTAGAATATCTCGACTTTGTGAGTTTTTGCCAAGTTTTCGGATCAAGGATGCCTTAACAGAATTTCAACTCTAGCGCAGTCAAGTGCAAGAATCCAGCACTAAATTTTCTAGTGATAATGTCACCATGTTTAAAAGAAGGGGGATTTTATGATATGCCTTTACATGCTAATTTAGCACGCTTATTATGGTTATTCCTTAGATGGAATGTTCTTTGTTTGTACTATAGTTATATGCAATTCGCGTTTAAAAAATGGAATTATTCATAGTGAGAGAGAGTGCAAAACAAAATTTGAACGTTGAGTTACTAAATAAACTTCGCTCTTAAAAAGAAAGCTTGTCGTGTCCGAATACTTCTTAATGTCTCAAGGAAAAAAAGCCCCACACGAGGAAACAATTATTCGTGAAAAAACTTATGTCTTTTTATGAGCCACAATGCGGCCCGATTTCAATGAACATTTCACTTTCACTTTCCCTAAAAATGGGTTGAATACCAACTGAACTATTTCAGTTTAGAAACCATTGTAGACTATGAACATTGATGGTTCGACCTTTTTGACAGCTCTATGCCCAGAGATAAATGTTTTTCGTCTTGTCGCCAGCGTGGAACAAAGAAAATTTCACTTTCCGCCCTCTGATGTTCCTCTACTGAGCCACAGAGACTCTATAATGAGCGAGGCCCATTACGAAGATCATATATGACAAGATCTCACGTGGGCGACTAAACGAAAGGCATCTTTCTCCGTTTCTTCACCGAGCTCAAAACTTACCATCTCTCTTATTCCATTTACAAACATGACGCTATCGACAGCGCTGATCCTAGCGTCGCTGATCCAAGTTGCTTTGCAATTTTTTTGTCAAGTTTGCTTATTAAAATTTTACTGATACAGGTTACGTTGGAGACCACTGCTGAAGATCAATTAAATAACAAAAGCAGAAACCCCTCAAACGCTTTTTTAGGTTGATACTTTAGGAGTCTTTGGACCAAATTTTAAGGCAATCTACGAAAGTTTCATATATTAATTAATTCAAAGAAGACACATTTGTGTAAAAAAGAAGTAGTTTTTTTTGCAACCAAAGTTTTGTCAACATTTCACGCCTTTGGGTGACCATTTGTCAGGTTATATCGACACCCTGAAGACTAAAAATGCAGACCGTCAATGGAAACACACAGACATCCTGCGCAGTCCCGAGTGACTCTCCTCAAAATCATATTTTGCCTATGATAGACATTAAATTCAATTTCATCAGCCAGAAATTTCGGCTTTTTAAGATTTTCAATTTTTAATTTAGAAGCAACCTAAGTACTCCGTGGCAGAACTCGTTAATGGTTGCTCGTTGGATGCAAGCAGTGAAAGTTGCTTATACAAGAGCCCTTATCTGTTTCAGAGAGATTTTTTCAGTCGCTTTCCTTGTCGAATTTATTTTATCACTTGTACTTACTGCCAGATTTCTATTTGAATTTCACCAAGGTATTTCTCCCTTTTGAGCTTTCCCCATTCACGGTGTAGCGTTATACACAAGTAGGTAGTACTGACCACTTCTTGCAAGAACTGGGTTTCGTTGCGAGAAACACGGTCTTTCACGATGTCATTTTATAATTGGCTACTCACACTTTTGCGGGCTAAATAATTCGTTCGAGACATACGTTTTTGTAAATAACTCGCGTGAGTTTCAATATTTTGCAAACCTTTTTCGTGAAAACTGTAGTAACAATAATAATGCTTAGTTTGATATGAAAATAGAAAAAAAAAGAAATTGGCCCTTGAAAATCTACTGTATCCTTAACTCATGGGAATTTGCGTAGGTGTACTTAAACTGTATTATAGGCCCACATCTCCCACAGAGAAACAGTGAACTCCCTAACAGGAGCCTCCGAGTCATCAAGCTTATGTGAACTTGCACTTATCAGTAGGTTAATTTTAGCCACAAGAAAATCTCTCCACAGAAGTTGTTCTTCACCTACCGTGGTTAGACTGTAAAGTGCGCTGATTTCCCACTGTTAAATTTTCTTCCAAATCTTGTTGTCCTTTGATCACCATTCCATTTTCTAAAGCAGTTTTGCCATTTTCAATTTCAACTGCATCCTGATTAAGTGGCATTTTTCTTTTACCAATTAGGATATGTTAAACGATCAAAACAATTGAGAAGAGTCACAAGACTGAGCTGTTATATAATAGCTATCAAATAATTAGGATGTTATGAGTAAAATGATTTGAAATGATATAGTTTCGAAGACTACATTAAATAATTCCAAAATACACACCATGAGTGGACGTGTCCTGATCCACTGAGTGCTTTAGAGTTTCTTGTTGCCTTGCATCCTTGCTGAGACTTGATGATAATGTACCACTATCTGCAATGATAAAAAACCCACCGCTGGTCAAATTTCTTGTAAAAGAGATCACTGTTGACAGGATATCAAAAGTCTTTAAAGATGTGTTTCAGAGAACATAAATCTTTATTTTTGTAATTACCTTGTTCAGAACAATTCTTCTGTTGTTCTCCTTTCAGTGCTGCTTCCTTTGGTGTCTGTTGCTCTCTTCCTACTGCTGGTTTCCCTGACACCTGTTGTTCTCCTCTTACTGCTAGTTTCCTTGGTGCCTGCTGCTCTCCTCCTCCTGCTGGTTCCCCTGGCACCTGTTGCTCTCTTCCTTCTGCTGGTTCCCCTGGTACCTGTTGTTCTCCACCTCCTCCATCTATTTCATCTGGTTTTTGGTACACAGAAGGAGAAAATTGTGATCTCTGTGGCCAATTAGCATAGGATATATCAAAAGAGTTGGCCATTTAAGAAAAATTATCGGAAAAATGTTTGCTTTCCAGAAGGAAAATGATGAATCACATTTTGGAAGTTAACATAGGTAGAATAACTTTTGGTTTGATTAAATCAAAAATTATTTCAGGAACTGCGCGCACACGAAACACAGACCTTGCTATTATCTTTTCTCTATCCTTACATACATTTTCGTGTTAACTCAGTCGACACTGTTGTTAAACCAGAGCTACGATTGAATGTGGATGATGTGGTACTCTCTGGAGTAAGTGATGTGCTGGATCCTTGGATCCCTGATGGGTCTGTAGCAGGGTTGTAACTAAGAAATTAGGCTGCCAGCTGAAATTTCAAGAGAGGCGTCTCAAAGATCGAGAGCGGCAATTGTGAGTGTGTAACCTCAGACGTGCTGTTTATGATGTACCAGGCGTTTCTCTGCCAAAAATCCAGCCGATAATTGCTGCTTTTTCATTTATGTTACTGAGCGCTGAGTTGGATAATCAACTTTAAGAGAAACCTGACGAAAAAGGCCTCGTTTATGTTTATTCCAAACTCAGCAAATATACCGCCGAACTCGCTTCACAGGAGCAGACATGTGAATATCAATCAGAAAGTATACCAAAAACATTAAAATTTAAAGAGTAGCCACATGAAAACAACAATTAAGTAACAAAGAATCATGAATGTTGCAGCACAAACAAGGCCAAGAGGTGAATTTTCAGTACATAATGTGATCTTGCGCAAGAGCTATTCTTAGAAAGTTACCACGATGAACTAGAATCAACAGCAATATTAGGTACTCCTGGGCAGAATGTAGCTGAGACACTTCTCCAGAGAAACGTCTACGATGTTCCTCTGCCCCTCTTCCCCTTCCAGTGCTGTCATTTGCCAATCATGTGTCTATGCCATCATGTAAACCAACATCGAGAGGGGCAGGAAAGGCAGAGATGTCCCAACAACTATATCTGGGAGTGTAGGCCAGCTCCTTTGTGGAAATTAAGTAAGATTTCTGAAGATAATGAGCCAGATAAATAAATTGCATATATTGCTAGTGACGTTCAAGACCTTAAAGATGAGTTGAAAATACACGTAAGCTGAACTAACCAAAAGTTACCCACCTGAAAATGCCCGTGTCCTGTCAATCTGTGAAAACAGAACAAAAGAAAGCTGCTCGTTGTTACCAAGAGTAATGGCACCCACAGCAACTGCCTCGCCTTCGACTGTTATTGTAATTGGAGCTCCAGGGCCTTTTCGATAATCTTTGTGAAATCTAGTGCTTTCTATCTTTCCGGAACTGAGGTCAGCGAGATATGTTTCTTCGTCTGCGATCCTCTTCACTAGGTATGGTCTTATGGCAAATGAATTTCCGGATTCCTCAACGACGTGACAATATAATTCATCATTTCTTAAGTCTTCCTTTACTTTAGCGCATATGGTAAATGGACGGTGATTCATCAAACCGGAATTACGTTTCCTAATGATGCCAAGTTTGTTTGGATCAATAGGGACAATTGCGAGGTCTGATTTGAAGATCACATTGTCAGACACCATATCAACTAGCTTCTTCGGTTCTTTTTCTTTGTCTATTGATTTCTTGAAATACAAAGAGTAGTCACTTAAATCATTAGATGGAATAACCTTGTTGCTTGTGACCAGGTGAAGTTTTTGCTTGCACATGGGAAAGAAGTCCTTTATGAGGCTCCCGGTACCAATGAATTTCCCGCCCTGCTGAGAAACGTGTTTCCATATCCCACAAGTAGCTAAGACGCACTTATTTTCCTTTCTTTCGATTTCTTTTCTCGGAGTATGTACAATCGCCAAAGCGCAGGAGGCTTTACTTGAAGGTGACATTTCTTTCTCATCAGACCCTCATTCATCCAATCTTCAAAAATCTAGGAAATGACCGAGGATATGCAGAACTCAGCATAGTGCCAATACAATTTACGTTTGATGATTTAAGATATATGAAATTCATATATTTGCACTGCGGTGAAGAAACGAAATTAAGAGATCCTCGCAGCTAAGAACACTACTGAAACGAGTAGTTGAAAATAGGACCTGAAAAAATTCAGGCCCGTACGGGATTTGAACCCATGACCTTAGCGATACCGGTGCAGCGCTCTACCAACTGAGCCAATAAGCCAACTGGGAGTTGGTTTATTTGGACCCAACACATTGACCAGCTCCCAGTTGGCATGTTAGCTTAGTTGGTAGAGCGCTGCACCGGTATCGCAGAGGTCATGGGTTCAAATTCCGTACGGGCCTGAGTTTTTTCCAGGTCCTATTTTCAACTACTCGTTTCAATAGTGTTCTTAGCTGCGAGGATCTCAAATTCACGTTTCCTAGAATAATCGCATTCAAATTAAAAACTCTGTAAAACATGCCATATTAATAATACATAGACTTATTACAAAAGAGTCAGATTTGAATTTAATAATTGTGAGGGAAGAAAAAAGTTATAATAGATATGCAACCCGTCATATAATTATAACAAAGTGAGTTGCCATGTTAGTTGATGAGTTCCGCATCACTAACCATATCAAGGCCATAATCAGCGATGTCTAAACAGCGAAAAATATCTGGAAGATCAACAATTAATAGCCGGCATTAAAGACAGGAATCTTTTCTGAAATAGATTTATCATATTTGGTATGTATCAAGCAATAACTTAAGAGTCCTTTTATAAAGTAGCTCTTGTGAGAGGTCGTTTGCCATTTGTTTACTCGACCCAGCTGAGCATGTAACTTACGTCGGCAATCATGAATAAAATAACCGTGTGATTTCATACTTCTGCCTTCTGTTCTAGTTATCAACCTACAGCAGAATCCCTGTAATTCAAACTCCCAAGGGAAAATAAACCGGTTCGAGTTATCGGGATTGGTGTTAATTTCAGTCATCCAGTTCATAATTAGTTACGAATCAGGTATATACCATTCTTGCTCAGTCAACAGTCATTTTCACACTTAAAGTTTGTTCATTTTAAGAGGGTTTAGCTTAGTAAGTTTAGATAGATGTCTTACGTTTTCATAAATGTTACCACGTTCATATCGATCGCGGTTAAATTAAGATTGGGACATGTCAATGTACCACCATCTATGTTCCGACCCTTAGATATGAAGTTTATCGAATGACCTTTTTACGAGTTCTCAGGGTAAATTTGGGCCGAGGGAAAGTTAAAGTAGTTCAAGTTAACCGAGCTCTAGTTTCTTGATATTATATGGCTATGAATATGGAGTAAAATCGAAGTTTGTGTCGTGTTAACAGGGGGTTCGAGTTAACCGGGTTCGCATCAGCGGTGTTCTTCTCTGATAAGAAAACAATGCATAATTTCTCAAATGAGTCGAAAAACAGAATCTTTTATTGTAACGCAGTCAGTTGCAACGAGAGAACAGTGGACATATTTAGTTCAAAGCGAAAAATTATGAATTTCACTTTCTCGATCTATTTTTCATGAGAAACCAGTTTTTGTCCTTGAAAATTGATAAAGAACAAAATGTTTAGCGGATTTGAGAAAGAAGCGAATCTCTCGGCTTAAACAGACTTCTTGATTAATGCAAAGTACTTTTCCGAAATCGATTTCTTGATAGAAAATGAGACTTGATGAGACTTACCGGCTTAAAATGATTCAAGAACTGATGGGTCGAGCTCCTCAGTTTTCCTGTAACAGAAGAAAAGTAGCTTAGGTCCGCAATCATCGACAGAAACACGAAAGTGAACCCAAGATTCCAAAGCAGCGAGGCGTGTTCATCTCGTGAGGTCCATTACAATGCTTTTATTTTTAAAATTTCAAGTAATTAATAGGAGATGGTTCATACAAAATATCGCTTTTACTCAGGGAATCGCCAGCTATGCAAATTTTTTGGAATAAAAGATAATTTTGCATCAGAAAAGAGGTCAAATCTAAAGATACGAGGGTGGGTGTATAGGGATAAAAAACGAACGCAATAGGTGTTACGCTGAATGCTTACACAAATAGCTGGAGCGAGACAAACAACTGAAAATGCAAAAAAATCTCACCAATTCTTATTTCAACCAAATCCAGATTAGTTTCTTATGAAATGGGTGTGCTGGTTTACGAGAGTTTGCTTTCACTTGTCAGGTTCTTTCACTATCGCTAACCTCGCGTGAAAATAAAACTAATTTAATTGAATCTACATTCTTCGACAGACGTCAAATGAATACGATTAACGTTTCCTAGAATGTTCGACTTTAAATTGAAAATTGAATTTCACACATTTCGTCATTTTGACAAGTTGTAGAGATATTTCATAAAAATATGAGATCGAAATCGAACTTTAAAACATTTCTAGGAAAGAAGAAAACTTGTAAATGCAACACATCATATATAGGACAATGGTTCACAGTTCTTTACTTTGATTTCCGCATTACTGATCATATCAAGGCCACAAACATCTATGTCTACTGTGAGAAAATGTTTCGAAAACCAACACATCATAGTCAGTATTAAACTTCAGGAATCGTTTCTGAACTATGATTCGATTTATCATGTTTTGCATGCATCGAATGGTAATTTGAAATTCCTTTTTTAGATTAGCACTTCTAATATGTTGTTTGTTGTTTGAACCAACAGAGCATGTAACTTACGTCCGTAATCATGAATAAAATAACCGTGTGATTTCATCTTCTCCCCGTTGCTCTAGTTATCAACCTTACAGTAGAATGAATCCCTGTAATTCGACCTCCCAGGGGAAACTAAACCGGCTCGAGTTAGCGGAGGTTCGAGTTATCGCGACTGGTGTTAATCAGTGTTATCCTATTGATAATTAATTACAAATCATGCACACTCTATACCATTCTCGCACAATCAACAGTCATTTTTAAAAACTTTTAAGTGTTTTAAGTTTCACTAAATGTGTTCCGTTTATACACATGTTCCCGCGCGTTCAAATCAATCGCGATTAAAGGTTGAGACGTGTTAATCAGCTATGTTCTGACACTGACGATGATCGAGATATCAGGGTAAATTTGAGCCAAGGAAAAGTAAAATTAGTTCGAGATAACTGAGTTCAAATCCAATCGACCTTGTTCGAGTTAGCCGGGGATTCGAATTGACCAGGTTTGAATTAGCAGGGGTTCTGCTGTACTTAGGATGCAATGCATAATTTCTCAGCTGAGTCAAAGGAGACAGAATCTCGTATTGCAACGCAATCATTCGCGGCGTGAGAACGTGAGCTTATTGTGCTCAGAGCGAATCACCATTAATTTCACTTTTCCCGATCTATTTTTCGTTAAAAATCAGTATTTGAATCTGAAAATTGCAAAAGAACAAAATTTTAAAGAGTTTTGAGCAATAGGTGAATCCATCGATTGTAACATTCGCAGTTTGAACAGACGAGCAAATAGACTTCTGTAATGTGAATACTTTGCAAAAATCGTGTGAGCGTTCCACTCGATTTCTTGATACAAATAAGAAGTGATGAAACTTACCGGCTTAGAAATTGAAGTTTCAAGAACTGGTGAGTGAAGCTCCTAACTTTTCATTGAGCATGAGAAAAGCGGAAGTTCCGCAATCTTTGGCAGAAACGCGACGGTGAACCAGATGCTATCGAATTATGCAAATGTAGCGAGGATGTGCATTACAGCGCATTACAGCGCTTCAAATAATTAAAAGGAAATGGTTCAATCGCTTTCACTCACGTGATCGCCAGCTTTGCAAATTTATGGGGACAAAAGAGAACTTGGGACTGTTTAACAGGTATTACAGGTATCAGCTTCTATCCAACATTAATCTCGTACCCACACATTCCATGGCCAAGCGGTTTCAGTTGCACGGTAGGATCTGGGTACGAGATTGAGATAAGGATAATATTTGGACTTTGACCATTGAAAATTATTCTATCGCGCGAGCACCTACTAAACATTCGCATGAATGGCATCATAATCATTTTTGCCCGCAAAGCCTTTTTTTTCCACAACTGTGTTCAAACTTTCCATCAAAAAATCTAAAAGGTGAAAAAAAATATGTTAACAATCATTATCTCGAAATTATATCCCTGAATTGTACCCATCTGATAATCGAAACAGAATGGTTTACATTATTGTCCAGAGAACTTTTTTTTAGGGGGGGAGGGGCCTGTCATTATTTATCGCCTACAAAGGGGAGGGGGAAGGTTGGAGGATGTAAATTGTGTCAAGATAAAACTTACCTGATTCCCTGCTAAGGTTCTGTAATATTCACACGATCCAATTAACTATAGTCCTCGCCCTTTATACTCTTTTAGCGACGACTGATCCCCCCTCAGCTCCCCCTGAAAACCATGTGATCCCCAAAACTCTTAATATCGCGATACCAGTATCCTGTCTCACCGCACTGGCTATTGTGACTGTAGTGACTGTAATGACGAAATTTATTTTTGTTGTATCAAACAAGAGTGCTGAGAGAGATCTCGGCAAAATCGAGCCAGTCCGGCCCATGTAATAAGGCTTATAGTCAGTGTATAGTCACTAATTACAAAAATTGTCGACTAATCTCAGTCTGCTAAAGCAGAACGTACGAAAGCACCTCAATATCCATTTTTTTTCTTGCCTATCTAAGATGTTCTTTACATTACATAAGCTTACTAAGCAACCAGTCACATGTTGTAGCGCGCACAATATCTGGGTGAATTAAAATTATAGACTAATTCTTCATTTTTCTAAACGGGTTGAGTTTACTTCATACTAGGTAAATAAAATATTTCAGATCTTTGAAAAAGCGGCCAAAACTGGAATAAACCAATGCTGAAGAACGTACGAGCATTAAAACTAGTTGGACAAATTAATCGATAAAAATGGCGGCTTTGAACGATGAACAGTGTAGAGAATAAAATATTGTGGATTCTTTGGAGTCTGCT